TACCTTTGAGCCACTACTGAATTTGAAAACCTCAAATCTGAAGCTGTTTTCACTTTAGCCATGCTAGCACAGTAGTGTTCACCACTTTTGTCCAGACTGAAATATCTAAATCTAAAACAACTAAACTAAAGCTCTGCAAGTTATAAAAAATCTATCTGTATTGAAAAAAAGTTGTGGGGACAAAAATCTGGTCCAGACAAAGTTAAGCATAAAGTTTAAGAGTTAAGAGGTGTTTTGTAATATTGGGTTATGGTTAGGACAAGAGTTGGGGTTAGGCATGAAATGGTTACATAAGTTAAGTAAGTAATGCAGTGTCCTAATAAGTAACAAAAACAAATGTTAAGCAACTGTTTGCTTTATCGCTGAAGGGATAAAACTACATTAATCCTCAGGTTTATTGCATCATTGCAGCAGAAAATAATGGGAAATAATTAAAAATAATTAAAAGTAAAACAATAAGTGAAGTCAACCCAATATGCAAAGTGTCAACAGTAAACTTAACGTCACAGATTAATGTGTCACCATGAGGAAGCATCCCACTGCCAACACTTGCTAAAATTGTTAATGTTACGGTTAATGTTTACTGAAGTCTTGTCTTTTCCTGGTCTGCTAGCTGTAAAATGATTTTATTTAATGCAGATTCTCAAGTTACACGAGCCAAAACATAAATGCTAAAAATCTTGTGATTTTATCCATCAAGTTATTTTCATGTGATCACAGGGTTAAAACCTGCTTTAAACATACAGAGCTTACAGCAAAGAAAACACGACCCCCTGCTGCACTACTAACTATTATATAAGCTAGGAAAACATCTGAGCAGTGCATTGTTTATTATAAAAAGAAACTGCATGCAGTGGAGTCATTGAAAGAAATTAGAAAATAATTCTCGGAAGTTCATGCAGAGTGTCCTCAAAGCAGAATGTTAAAAATAACCTTTATCTGTTAGATCTGGAAGCACAATTATAAAAGAATCTCTTTAAAATGTTATAGTTATATCGCAGAATTATAGAATCATCAAATAAAACATCAATATATTTTAATAAACAGCTCTATAGATAATATATAAACAATAACAGATTTTTTCCCCTATTAAACACACATTTACAAACCATTAAAGTATTAAAATTGTGTATGTCAGGATGCATTCCTGCAGATACTCACATGCTGTTTGGTGGAGAGTTTGAAGTTTTCTGGGAACTGAAAGAAGCCAAAGTCCTGTGCAGTAAACTGTGTGTGTGTGCGTCAAGGGATTAAAACCCTCCTTGGGGTGAGTGGGTGTGCGAGCATGTACGCCAACGGTGACACAAGGTTTGGTTAACCAATCATTGTCTCAACATTAAATAACTTCACTGTCAGGACGATTAGGATCATCAATACACATCACATGCTGTGATTTGCAGCCTCCGTTGCTTTGCCTTGAAGCAATTTCTGAATGAGTGAGGCGCATTCAAGAATCTCCTGAATTCATTAATTCTGCTTAAGGGGATCATGGGAGCAGAGCAGAGCAGAGGTGAAAATGAGTGTTTAAAGGTCCAGTACAACATTTAGGAGGGTTTATAAGCAGAAATTGAATTTCCATTATTATTGAATCACCTGAATATAAGAAACTATACCGCTGCCTCTAAAGTATCAGTTTAGCACTTCAGTCTCTTATTTTATTATGACTTCTTCAGATGTTCAACTCACAGTAATGAACTATATGATGATCAATGCTGCAGTGTTTTTATATATATCCTAATATACTGCTATCTACTTCAGGAAAGTCAAGAAAGAAAAAAAGTCAGTCAGCGCCCTAAACATAAAATACTGCAACATATAATCAATTTTCTCTGTTATCTGATGAAGTAACATCTATTGTTGTAGTTCAGAGTTCCCTGTATATCGACGTTTATCCTGTTTCACAAACCATACAGGAACCAAGACAAAAAAGTATTTTTTAAGACAAAAAAGCTTCAGGACATTTACAACAAATCTTTATTGTTCACCAGTCATTTCACTTATCAGTCACTTGATGTCACATGTTGTTGTATGCAGGGCAATCAACAACAACAAAAAATCAACATAATATGTCCACAGTCATGAAAAAGCACAATCACTTAACTGTCCAAACATGAATCAATTTAAAATCAGCACATAATTTAACCGATAAATTAAAACAGCAGGACTACAACCATAAAGTTAAGGCAATGTTAACAGATATCCTTCCTCTGTAAACTTCTTTAGACTTTAGTGAAGTTATTAAATCTGATATACTGTAGCAGCAAGGTTAATAACATTACCTTAAAAAGGTATTAGTGCACATCAAAGATATACATTATTATTATTTGACTGAGATGACGTAATCCCTTGTTTACCAAAACCAGTTCACTCATTACTATTTCTTACAGTATTAAGGCCAGATATTGTTCCCTTAAGGTATCATAACATTACTGTATATTTGGAATGAATACAGATCCAAAATCATAGTAAATCACATAAAAATGTTGAAACACAGTCAAACCTAAAAGAATATTAAATTAAAATTAAAAAATCAAAGCAATTTTGGCATAAAAAAAAATCAAGGAATGTCACTGCATCTCTGAACTGTATGTTATAAAGTAACTGCATTATAAATGACCATTTTCCTAATACTGACTTCAACGCAATCAAACTGCAAATCTGCCTTTGATAAAACTGTAAGTATAATCACGTTTTACACAGAATCAAAGGGCAGAGGTAGCTAAACATTTACACTTCAAACACTACTCTCCTTTCGGAAGAGACATGGCTGTAGTGTGAATATTATTAATAACAGTGTGAATATTCCTCATCAATTAGATTCAGGAGCAACACACGTGGATGGATAAGTGAATCTGTGTGTCCCTGAGCAAATATATTTTCACATGGTTCGTTGTAATGGGAACAAAATCCATCAGCTGCTGTTTTTTTGCTACTGTAAACAAAATTCAACTACAGAGATCCTTTATAAAATACCGCACAAAGCACTTGTGGTATTACTGCATTCATACGCATTTTCACATCCCCTTGGCCAATGTGCGGCAAACACAATGCTCCCATTATCTGGGCATGTTTTTACTTTTACAGGCTCAAGCAGAGGCCTCTGAATCAGGAGGGATGCCTCATTTGTGGCATGAAAGACAGATACGGTGCTTCTCTCAAGGACAGGAAACCCTCCAAAAACAGGGTTAGAACAGTCATTTCCCATAACGAATAAATGGGAACGCGTTGTCTGTTAAAAAAGAGACTTCATATAAACGTCTCCCTCCTGCTAACTGCAGTTATCCACACATTCTTGGGCGCGGGAGAACACGTGGTAGACGTTGACCAGAGGGAACATGGTGAGCGCTCCGATAAGGGAGCCGGCCTGGATAGAGATACCGCACCACAGCAGGGCAGCGTGACCTGCCTCATGAAGCAAAGTCCCGATCACCACCTTCACATAAGAGAAGAGGCCGGTGAAAATAATCCAGGAGATGACCTGTAGGGGGGGCAAAAGCAAGCAGCTGAAATCAGTGAAGAAAATACACGAGGCCTTTAGTTTCTGTGTTTGTGAGATCTGTAAGAAAGACTCAAACATCCCCAGTTGATTTAAATATTACTAAAGGTTAAAGTCATTACGCAGCACAGGATTATGGAACCAACTGCCTGATGGTTTGAGGAATGCTGCAACCATTGCAGGTTTAAAATCAATACTTTTATTTTTAATCTTTAACATATGTATGTACTTTTACCTGTGTTGTTTTTACCTTTTACCTGTCTTGCTTCTAACTTCACCGTACAGCAACTTGAATCTACCTATTATGAAACAAACCTGCCTTGTCTTGTTTAAATCCTGAAACGTGCAAGGACATTTTTCCAACTGAGCTCACTTCAAACCAGCGTGAAGAGCACAGGTACAAACACACAAATACAGAAATGTCTCTAGTGAAATAATCAAAACTTTGGCAGAAAAACGAGATCAAGTAGGACCCCAATGCTAAAAGCAAGAGTCAGAAGTTCACTTTAATAACTTTTTCATGCAAACTATTGTGTGTTTGTCAGAATGCCCGATCAGATTCATATTGTTTACTTATTCTTTGATCAGATTCAACAAGATTTGAAAAGTTTTGGCTTTTATTAACTGACCCCGCTCTAGGAAATGTGTATTATCACTCACCACTAAAGCCACACCACTAGTGTTTCCCAGGAGTGGAGGACAGGGGCTGAGAGCCGCTAACGCCATGAGATATGCAGCGAACACTCCCCCTCCTAAAGACAAGAAGCCCAGACCAGCGGAGGACCTGGAAGACAGAAATGGGTCCAATCAAAACACTGCAACACATCCAAAGTAAAAACTGTAACTGGCTCTTAATGTATGTGTTCAATCACTCTTATGTTGTCTCACCTCAGGACAACAAACATGGCTAGAAAGCAGGCCAGGGGGTTCGCTATGTTGCCAAGGACCACAGACAGGTGAAAGGTCATGGTGCCATAAGGCAAACAGGAGAAACTCTGCACAGACGGCAGGACCCCGTTGGTGAGGGCGTTGGAGACGGCGAGCAGCGACAGCAGGCCGATGTTCCTCCGTGTCCAAAATGTCTGCGCAGGTGGCTGCTCCTCCACCTGCGTCTGCTCCTCGGACAGCGGCGACCCTCCGTTGTGCAGCGGGTGCGTTTCCTCTCCGTTTTTGGCTGCTGCTGCTGCTTCGTCGGGCTCCTGTGACGGCGCATCTTCCTGCGACTCCGTCTGTCTTCGCGTTAAAGCCCAGAAACTCAGAGATGAGATCAACAGCATGGCACACAAGAACCAGAAAAAGTTCTGCGCAGGGAAGTTCTGGTCTAAATACTCTGGCTTCACGGTGCCGTTCACGTTTTTACACTCCAGCTTGCCAACGCCCTGCCCTAACGCCACGACGCAAGGGAACAACGCACTGAAGCCCTGGCCGATGAAGAAAGTACGGATATACTGAGGCGGGTAACGAAACATGAAAGGCAAGAAGGTGACGTTGGATGTGCAACAGACCAAAGACAACACAAAGGTGAAGAGCAGGAACAGCAGCGACCTTTCTTCTCCAGCTATCGTGACAGTGTGTGACCAGAAGATCGCCAGAAGAGCGGACGCCACCACCGCCACCACCTGGATGCAGTGGATGACGAGGCGTTCGTTTAAACGTCCCGGAGCGCAGTGGTGTGTGATGGTCACTGCTATTGGACCGATGTTCCCGAACGCTATCAGCACTGAGAGATAGGCAGGCAGGTTCCATCCTAAAACACACAAAACACAACAATCAGTCAGGGTGAGGAGGTAAAGATGAAAACACAATATTCACATGATGAAGCCGTACTGCTTCTTCCACAGCCCATAATGTGAGGACGGCTGTCTCACCTACTGTCTGATAACTTCACTGACTCACTCTGTCCGCCATCAAAGGTCTGTTAGTTGTTTCCTGCACTTATATCTGAATCACACTATGTGTTTGTCCACAGTCAGTCATTGTCGTTTGATCAAGAACTGCATCACTGCAAATGCAATCTACACTCAGCATTATTATTATTTAACAATATCCTAATCCCAAACTCACTATAAGTACATCGTATATTTTAAATACAAAATTTTAGCAAAGAAAATCTACAAAGAGAGGGATGAAATCAAACAGACTATTTAAATATTTACAAGCTCAAACAAACTATTTACATATAAACTGTAAGAACACCTTAACCCAGAGATCCAGAGAGTGCCACACCTACTGACTGCCAGCACTGTAGAAGAAGCATTTGTTGTCTGTTACTTAAGTAGAAATAGCAAAACTACGCAGAAAGAGCCCTTTCAGTGCTATAAAATATATTATTTTATAAATTATATGTTATTAAATTATTATGAATAGATTTCTGTCAGCAGAATTTTCCTTTTATAGCTGGTAGAGCTGCATTTACAACCAACTATATCACTGTCGGGTCATTTAGTAATTAGCGGTCGACTGATATTGTTTTTTCAATGGTGGATGCCGATATTTACAGAGCAGGGCTGCAGATGGCCGATATATAATGCCGATAAACACGAAGAAAAGTCAAGTTTAATTCTATTCTATGGGAAATTCAGGTGTACGTATGTTTACAGCACGAGAGTTAACGTTTTCACCACCTTCCTCACAAGGTGGAGCACAGATATCGTCCCACAGCAGCCACACTGATGCCTGCAGATGTGTTTACAGTGAGCACAGACAGCCGATGACACATAATGTGACAGATTAATCACCATTAATAACCTATAACAATTACATTATATTTCAAATGTGATCACACACTACAGCTGCTAAATAAATGTAGTTTAGTAAGCACAGTGTTTCCCTCTTAAAACAAAGTATTATAAAGTTGAAACGTTTAAAGTGTCTTTGATTTCCTAGAAAAATAATAATACAAAATAAAATAAAATGTATTATTATTATTATTATTATTCAATCATTAAAGTTCAGATTTCTGTGTCACATAAATGTACTTTGTTGTTTTATACAATAATATATGAAAATTTAAATACTATGAAATGGTTTTCTTTTTTTACTTTTGTCATGTGACCATCCTGGCTGAGGCTTAATCATCAATAAATCAATCAATCAATAAATCCCCCATTGGACAGAGTGAAATTATTCTGTGTATTACTATTTCTATTCATTGATGCTTTCTATACACAAAACGACTATATATTCTACATATTTACATTTAATATTTAATATTTATGAACCGATCACAATAACACCTGTAGCATTATCAGCCAGCTGTGATCAATAGGTAACATTACAGCCAGATTTAAGCTCACTGAAGCCACCAAAAGCTTAAATAATGAATAAAAACAGAATATATTAATATATTCTAAATAAAAGCTTGAATATAACTACGACGGAGTATTAGGGCCAGACTAAGAATTTTATTTTATTTTATTTTTTGGAAATTACAAGAATAAAGTCGTAATATTACGAGAATAAAGTCGTAACATTACCAGAATAAAGTCGTAATATTACGAGAATAAAGTCGTGATGTTA